CATTATTCTCACCATATAAGGTGCTGGGGCTGCTGACTTGCCACAGCAACCCTCACCCAACCTCCCAAATTAGCCTTATTAGTGGCGCAACATCTTTTCATTGCCCCCCCTAACCCCTCCTCTCTACAATTTTTTGTTGCCTTTTTAATGTTTTTCACACAATTGACCACAAAATTCTTTGTCTAATAGATGATGCTACTAAGCAGTAAACCTACGCTTCTAACTTGGGAGTTGAAGTTGATTGTATATTATATGCGAATAACATACTCGCTGAACATGAAAAATGTCTGCAGGCTATGCTGAGCATTGTTATGGAATGGTGCTGGAAATGATAAGATAAAGTTAATCAAGACAAAATCACTGGAGAGAAGCTCAGTTGTTTTTAATTCTGGTCCAATCGGGCAGTCATATACTGATCAGTATTAATATCGTGCCTTGACGCCCGACGAGCACATGACATTTAAAGAAGCTGTGAGTGTTGTAGCTCAGTCAGCGGGTAGGGAACTGGGATCTGTCATGAACAAAGTTAAACAATGTGGTAATCTAGGATTCCATACTTAAACAGAAATCTATAATTCATGTGTGTCACATGAATCTTCTGATGTTTCAGGTTTCTGTGAACATACAAGTTGTAACACTGTGCTTTCCATAAATTTACTTCAGTTTGGGCCATTAGTGGAGAACCTCCAAACATCAGACATAAATGCCAAATGCTTCGGCTTTGGAATAGACTTGTAAAGATGTCTGATCAGAGACTCACTAAAAAGACATTTAACTGGGACATTTCACATCGTCCCTGGGCTAATGAGTTAAATCCTTATTTTATTTGAACGATTTGTCTTTCACTTTGCAGGACACAGTTACTTTGTGATATTCAGGAGATCAGGAGTAAAACACTTCTCATGTGTACAGAAAAATGGTCTCTTGATATATGGTATTAAGCAAAATTACAAAACTTATTGCCTCATAAAGAATAACTACAGTGTAGAACCTTATGTGAAGTATAACTTAAATAAAAGACAAAGATCCCAATGTGCACAATTGCATTCAGGAACATTACCATCAGCCCTAGAGGTTTAATGCCACTCCGGAGGTCAGTGAAACTGAGAATGAGGTTCATTTTTTGTTCTGCTGTCCTCTCTATGAGGATATAAGGGATAGAAAAATGAAAAATGTATGATGATTTCTTTTGGCTGGATGATTATGAAAAACCTGAATTGAAGGAAGGTTGTAGTGTATTATTTGCCAAGAATAGGAAAAAAGGCATAATATTTTTTAAATGAAATATTTCACCACTGAACTGTATTTTTGGTTTCCTTTTGAGCATGACACAAAAAAATAAATAAATAAATAAAATCACTTGGCAAGGTTTTTGAAAAATACACCAACCATAATTACAGTTTTGAATTTCAGTCACATGGAGAAACAAATAAAAAATAACACATGAGGCGAGTGTACAGTCGCAGGTGACTGCTGCTTTTCGGCGCACTTAGCTTTAGAAGGGCCCTCGCCAGAAGCTCATGAAAATGCCAAAGGGCGTCGTAAGAGCGACATTCTTATCATTTAGTATTGTCTGTACATTATGTTTTCTTGAGAGGTGTCATACATTCATTCATTTGAAGGAATACCCATTTCCATCCATGTGACTAAAATGGTGCCACACCTTTGGTCTTTAATACCAGATGAACGTAAAGAAGCAGCCTCTGAGGTAACAGACTCTTGGTAGTGAGGGGTAATGAGGACGGAAACATAGGGCATGAAGTGTGAACAGTCAGTGGCCAGATGTTGAGATATGTTTCTGGGCTTAAGGCCCACCCCAACTCATTACACGCCTGCTAATGAAGTACTATGAATATGTAATGGGAGAAGACATTTGTGTTTAAGAGATCATCACTGCTTCATGTACAGTAATATAGTGGATGTACATATGCAGACTGCATTGTGCAATGGTCACTGCATGCGGAAATAATTAGATTACTTTACATTATTCATTAATTTGTACTCTTTACTATTTCTTACTGTAAAGGTACAATCTAGTATTATAACTTTACTAGTCCTTTACAATATTTGGCAGTCATTGTATTATAAAATAAGCATACTGTTATACTACATTATTCATAGCTAGATCCTGCCTTAAAGGGCCAAGTCACGGTTTATGTTTTATCTCATTAATTGCCAGTTGCACACACAGCAATTTATATCGGTGCTCACCGTTTTCCAAGGCAAACATTTCTACTTAATTTGCTACCTTCAAAGCAGACAGCCACTGGTTTCACTTCAGATACAGTTAAAGCTGCAGTAATTGTTTGCAATTTTAATACCAGTAGATCAAATGTTTATTTGTAATGTGAAAGGTGTCACACGTAGTGACAAACCACAGACAAGTGTAAGCAACTGCAGTTCTCATCAGCTCTACTGAGTATTTTAGTCTGTTTTAGCTCATTGATTTGATTTTATGGCGTATACATTTTGCTCTCATCAGACTTGTTTCCAGCAGCAGTTGTTGTAAATGAACCCACTGTACGCTGCCCAGCAGACAATGGCAGTCTAGCTGTTGAAAACAGGAGAGCATTTAACAGCTAAAGAGCCACATTGTTCTTTTTCAAAAGTTGTTAGAGACTCAAACAAAGTTAAAACAAGAATGGCTGTTGGACTTAGAAGTGGAGCCAGAAATATGACTCCAATTAAATGCTCAATGTGTAATTAGACACATTTATCAATCCTACACACTGGTCCTTTACAGACTCGACTATCAAAGTGGAACATTTGCATTAACGTCTCACACTTAAATCCAGAGGACAAACAAAAGAAAGCAAACGTGGATCATTAAAATCATATTTTCGTAGTTTTTTTTTTTTTGTTGTTAAAAATGATCCTATTTGCAGCCAGTTCCCATGTTTCAGATGTTTGAGTTTCCCCACAGGCAGCTCCAGGCCTCTGATTTTCATATATTTGCTGGCATGAAATGAAACCAATTGCTGCCTGGAAGCTAGGAAATCAGTCTAAAAATGTATGTTATGCTTTGAAAATGGTCAATAATGTAAAGCTGAATCACGGTTATGGTCCTTTAAAATATGTTTTTGATAAAGATAATGTGAGATATATATATTCACACTCAAAAATACAAAATGTTTATCATCCTCCTAACTCATTAGGACTGAATCTAACTGCTCAGTGTGGTTTTCACACTTACATCACTCCATGATGATCCGGCCTCTCAGTGGACCTCTACACCTAGCAGGCCTGCACTCCATCCACAAGTGGGTTTTTGAGATAAGCACTGAGCTCTGGCTGCTAACACAGCCATCAGCACTAGATCTGTCCATGTCCTCCAAGTGATCCTGGGTTAAACACCGCACACAGGCCAGCGAGGAAGATGAAAACACTTGCCAGCTCACCGCGGAGAAATAGCTCACCCCTGCTATGCCACTCCATTTTCTCCAGCTGTATCAGGGCACTCTGGGAGAGCTGATTGCTGAATGGCTTGGCAGGGCCTTGGGTGTGTATGTGTTTCATTGTGTGTGTGTCTGTCAGTGGCTGATGTCCCACTGCGCGCAGAGTAAATCCTCTCATCCTTAACCAGGCTGACGTGCTAGCTCATCATTCTCTTTCATCAAGACCTCTTCTTCCAGGCTCCCTCCTGTTGAACCTTCAAGCCTCGGCTAAATGCTGCAGCATCTCCCTTCCCTATGTGCTTTGGATTTCTTTTCGAAATTAGCCCTAGAAAGCTGTCAAAGGCTGCGCACTCAAAAAAGCAAATGTGAATACAGTAGATGTTATATTTGCATTCTTTTACCTCTGTTTGCTCCTCAGTTTAAGTCCCCCTCCACTCAAAAATAATTTCTCCTTCTTGTTGCTACAGTGGGATGTTTGATCTTCACTGTGCAGGATGATGTCTGTGCAGAGTTTGACACTAGAAGGATATTATCACATTCAGATGAAAGTGGAAAGTTTCTCTGTGCTCATTGAAAATCAGATTTTAACGGGTGGGGCCTACCAGCATGATTTGTGACATCACATAGTTAGGAAGTCAGTCCTGGTGTGTGTCTGGAGTGTCAAGGAGGAGATGTCTTTGTGGAAGAATGTTAATGTGGAAATGATACTTTTCTAGCTGAAAAAACAGGCACACAGTATTGTTCCAAGTATTATATTTGTATGTCTTAAAACATGTCTGGAATGGATCTTTAAATCCTTAATCTTTCATAATCAGTATTTGCTGCCTTAACCTCCCTTGCTCGCATTATGAGGTTGAGGAGAATGTTTCCTGTATTAGTCTTTCCTCTGTATATACCTGACAGGAATGTGAGACATTAATTATCCATAAGCGGTCACCTCTCTTCAGCCTTGCCCAGCTGAAACCTGCGCCATTTTTCAAAACCTGTCACAAACAATCACCTTCATTCCGCTCGGTGGGTGTGACTGAGCCGGACTGGAGAAACACTCCAGCAGCAATAGCTATCAATCTCAAACACACACAGCAGTCCGTACCTGCTCTTAAAGCTGCCAGATTTGGGGATTGGCCGGTACTTCATTGCTAGCCCGGGGCTGTTTTTGCATCGTTGCGGCAATGACAGGTTGTCCAGCCTTTTCTGATTTGTCACCGAGCTCAGACCGCGGACCACAGAGCGGTAATATGATGAACAGAGAGCTGATATAGTGCCTTTGGGGCAGTTTGAGAGCAGGTCGTCTTTTCCCAGGCTTGCAGATTTAATCTCCTTCTGTCAGTGCAAAGGTTTTTCATGGAGCTGCTGTTGTTTTAATATGCAGGATACAAAGAATCTGGTGAAATAGAACCAGAAAGTTATAAAATCTAATGAACTATCAACATATTGTACGTGCAGCATCATTTTCAGAGCTCCTATTCTCCAAATCATTACCATAATGCCTTTTGCTATTGATATTGTGCGATTCAGGAGACCATTACGGTGGGAAATGACCACAAAAATGTTCTTAAAAAGTTTCCTGACTAACTGTTCTTGTTTTTGTCTGCCTGCATTCAGGTCTACAGACTATGGCACCACCTACACCAAGCTCAACCTGATGCCAGGCACAACCATCGTGGTGACCAGCTTCTACATCTGCCCGAACAACAAGAAAAAGGTAGGAGGTCGTATCCATTAAGGAGCGGAATATTGTGTTTCCCATGCTGCTCTGTTAGTTTTAGAGGAAAGTGTGTTGCTGAAAGAGTGAGCTGGAGGCCTAAATGAATATTTACACTTGCAGGCTGTCTAGGAATTACAAGACATCTAGTTAAATATGTGTGACTTGAGAACGTGATCTACTGAAACTTCAGACAGCTCGGTAAAATGAGATAAAACACTCCAGCATGGTGGCAAAAAATCCATTGAGATTAGAAATATTGCACAGCAAGATGGTACAATGGTACAGTTGATGGAGTGCCCTTTTAAACACTTGAGATTAAATAATTATTTATGAAAAATGACGGTTGAGTGCTGGATTGTGCCAGGATGCAAACTGCCCCTCCACCACCTCCATGCCCTTTTACTTTCTTACTTACTACATTGGCACTGAACCTTTGCTTTCGACGAAAATTGTACGGTGCAGTCATCCAAAATGAATGAATAACAAGGCATACTGGGACACAGACTCTGTGACAGGAACACAGAGGATATCCACCTACAGCCCATGGCTCCGACCCAGGGACACTGAGAATGAATGGGCTGAAAGCAACACATAGAATGCACCAATTTTCCCTGAAATTGTCTCATAAAAGAGACAAAAGCCATCACACATAATTTGAAAGATGCTATAAACACATATAGATTCTTAATCTAAGGGCTTTAATCATGGTAAATAATATTTAAGCAAATGCTTAAAATGCGTCCTCTCTTTGGTTGGAATATATTCTGGCTTTTATTTCTGTGACAGCGCACAGATTAGCGCATGTGGTGCTGCTACATGTTGCTGATCTTGAATTGCACTTTTTCCAATCTTCTGGTATTTCTGTACTCCTTTGGTGTTCCACATACAACACCCCTTGGCAACATACACCACTCCTACACACGTTCCAGTTATTCAATCCGCAGGCAGCTTCCGGACTTCGGTGAATTTCAAAAAGCAGGCAGCTGATAAGCCGAAGCGAGAGCCAAGAGGTACAGTAGGTGACTTAAGCTGAGATACGCCTGGATTGCCAACTGTGGCGGTCTGTCTAATTGGCAGGCGTTATCGTCGGGGTCCAGGGTTCTTCCAATCGATGAAGAGATAGAGGGAGATTAGATATAGTCACTTTTCTCACTTTCTGCTCCAGTCCCTCACTCCAAATGTCTGTGCGGGATCTGCCATCTCATCTTATTCGCACACACACACACACACACACACACACACACACACACACACACACACACACAGAATAGCGGAGGGCCAGACAGCATGAGAGCATTTAATTGCATGGGAATGGAGTCATCTTAATTTCCCTTAGGGACAGAAAGAGAGACAGATAGAAAGAGAGAGAGGGGGGAAGAGAGTGACTGGCGGTGAGAGTGTGTTGTGACAGTATGCTGTCTGGTAATATGAGCTGGGGATCAAGCTGCTGCTTAAACACACCTCCAGGCCTGGCAGGAGGGGACTGATGGAAACTCAGGTTTGTTGCTGGAATCGGTGTGTGTAGGTGTCTGTGTCTGTGTGTGCTGTTGCTGTTGTTTCGAGAGTAATTGTGTGTCATGTGTGAAAGGCAGCAGATGTGTGTGTAGCTTTATGTGGACTTTGTGCGCAGTTGATCATCAAACGCTTTGATCCCTCCAACTAAATATCAGTATGCAGCCATGTGTTTACTTCCTTCTTTTCAGTGTCCAAATTATGAGTGGTCACGTCTGCTAGGTGCCCCTACACACATACAAACACACACATATGTGAGCGCACTTTGATCAATACTGCTAATCACATCAGAAAACAGAGAACGGGTGGGTCTGTAAGCTCTGTGAGGGGATTACACACAGTGAGAAGGGATCACACAGAAAAGGTGTGAGGGGCCTCGGGTAATCAATAGGACTTGAGGCAATTAGAGAGAGGTGAGTCTTCAGACGGAGACAATGTCACCCACTCTTTCTCTCTCTCCATCGTTTCATTGAGAGCTCCATTAAAGATCAGCTCAAGACCCTTTGCAGGAGAGGGCTCCCAAGGACCCTTGACACACTTCAACGCCAATAGAGTCGTAAATAAACTTTGAGGCTGTAGACTCGGCGCACTCTCCTTCAGCAATTTTCTTTAGCAGTCGTCTCCAGAGGGCTGTCAGCTAGGCATGTGTTTGCACAAGTCCGTTTTCTTGTTGAGTGCTGCGTGTGGGCTAAATAAATAATATATAAATAAAATAAATGGTTCAAATGTATGCTAAAATGGATTTTAGAACAAATAGCTTCCTTTTGCATGGTACTGATCTATTAGATCTTTGTTCGCCATCATAGAATTAAGGTCAGACTTATGTGTTTTATTAATTGCTTGACTATTTATCCACAAAAGAGACAAATCATGTAAAAATCTCCCCCCATTGGTCACAGAAAGTGACTGTGCTACCAAGAAAAATGTCAGAATGAGTCAGACTCAGTCAATCAAAGTCAGTCAGTATGACCATGACTGTTTCTGAAATATGTATTTTAACCCAAACCACGATCTTTCCCTAAACCTAACCAAACCATACATGTACCTCGGGGATACTTCTTACTAAAGGGTACGCTCAGCCAATTAAAAAATATGAGTTACCTCCAATGTCTACCAGATCCTGCTGCATACCATTCCAGCCCCATCATAGCTGCCTGAGATGATCTGCCACCATTTTAGCCATTGTGGCAATGCACACTGAGACCGGAGCTTCTCACTTAATGGTTAAACTTCTGTAACTCCAGGTGGCAGTAGAGTGTGTGCCATCTTGACCAAATATACTGAAATCAAGAATAAAGACTAATCTTATCATCAGACAATTCCAGGACTACTATGCCTAGTGTGAAAAAATTAGCCATCCACCTATATACCTATGGAGCTGACATTGAGTGAGAGGTCACAAAGAAGGTTGGTAACTTCTGATGTAGAGTATGTTCCCTGGTTAATGTTGATTGAAAGACCATGAAACCTGCAAGAAGAATCAAGATGTGATTACTTTGTTGCAGGTAGGTGGTAAACCTAACCTAACTTTATATAGTTTTTATTACATAAACCAAAATACTTAAGGGATGTGTAGCATCATCTCAGGCATCTACGATAAATTAAAACAATCCACTGGACTCCAGTGTATTTTGAAGAAAAAATACAAATCTATTGGCCCATTAACGGCTTATCCAAATCTGATCCCTTTGCGATGCTATTTTTTAAAGACATGCTCTCTGAAAACAAATTTTTTGCACCTCATGAACATAGCATCACTGCACCACTCATCTTTGGCTTATAACACTTCCATAACATCTCTACCTCAGCAATTCTCTAAGCAGCAGGGCATCACCTGGAGAAGTGCCGTCAAGCTCAGAGGGCATCAAAGGCAAACCATGTTCTGAGCTGGTGTCCTCAATTATGCCCTTGGCCACTAGTCAGCATGGCACGTCCTCAGGGAGTACTGCCGATGATTTCCTGCCTCATGTCAGACTGAAGAGTCGATTCTGATGAACGGGTTTTCTGCTTCATAAATAGAGGTCCAGTGGACTGTTTTAATTTGACAGGGCTTGAAAGAGCGAGAAAGGTTTTGAATTACACCAGAAGCTCTCTAGTGGCTGGACTGGTCATTCCTATTCTACTCGTTGAGCTCTTTTAAAATATGTTTATTATGTATTTTTCAGTATATGATAAAATGTGAGCCACCACAGTTCAGTAATTCAAGGTGATTCTGGAATATTATCATTTACGTTCCCATTTGCCTATTTATATAATGTAACCCCACATCACAAAAAGCCATAGAAAGATGAAGATATTACATTCTTCTTGGTTATTGTAGCACACCACTCACATATGGGCATTTCTTTCCTTTACTGAATAATTATTGAGACAAGTCTGAAAGGACACAGCATGGAAGAAACACTAAATAAGTTAGGCCCAGTGGGACAAAGTAAACAAAAAAAAATCATTATATTCACTTAATAAGTGAGCACAGCACTGACAGCACTAAAAACTGTTTGCTGTAGGCAGAGATACATCAACCAAAGGCGATAGAATCTGTCTAGAGGATGGGAGAGTTGAAACGTTTCTATATAGAAAGAGCGAAGGGGTCAGAAGTAGAGAGAAGGACTTAACGAATTGGCTTAGGGCATCGGCCTTTGCCTTAACTGGCTCTTTTAGTGCCCTTATGCAAATACTTAAAATCTTTATCAGCCTTTGAAGTTTTGGGGAAAGTTCCAAGATCAGTAAGGGTTTTTTTAGAATAGGATGTACAATGTAAGTTAAGTAAGTTTTATAGAAATTTCCCATACACTCTCACAGTCCCAGAGGTTGCAGTTTTAATAGCTTCATTAATTCCACCTCAGAGCAAACAGAGGAACCCTTCTGTATTGGTATGTGAGACAAGACAAGACTTATAAAGACCCCCCTTCTATATGCAGTCATCCCATTTTCAAAGTGTGAGTGCTGGGTTCTTTGGGTTTTTCTGAATATACAGTAGGTTGGTTTAGAGCTTCCACACTGGAGAATTTTCCCTGTTTGTAAGTTTTGTTTAAAATTCAGAAATCAGACCAAGACGCTGTGGAAAGAAATGTTTCTTGATGTGTCTCCAAACCATGGTGCATTATGGTTTTAACACCCTGTGATTTATGGATTTAGTTTAAGTTTAATCCCGGTCCATTTTTACAGGATGAACTATTCCCATACAACTCTCGCAAAAACAGTAAGCTACAACCGCTGTGCAAAATGAAGCATACACGCTACAAAGTAACAATTCCTCGGACTGCGTCAAAAACAAAATGATAGTAGTTCTTAAAATTCCTTTAGTCACCCATTGAGATGGGAAAGAAAAGGCCAAAAAATAACATAGCCTAAAAGAACAAAGTGAGAAGAAAAAGAGGTGTAAACACAGACATGAGTAAAAAGGTTTCAAAAAAGAAGAACAATGGAAAAGAGAGTGATGGCTGAATGATACTGTAGATTTACTGTCAGGACTTCAATGATTG